ACGAAATACAAAGCTGGTACTTATCTTCTATAACAGTTCCGGGTTCAAGATCTACAGTTCCAGGTTCAAGATCTCCATTCTCAGCTCAAGATCTCCATTCCCGGCTTCCTATACTATTCCCGGTACCAACCTAAAAAACAAACGTTAGTAAAAGAACAAAAAAAAAAGAAGCAAGACGAAAAACAAAGCTGGTAATTAACTTCTGTACCAGTTCCGGGTCCAAGATCTTCAGTTTTAGGTTCAAGATCTTCATTCCCGGATTCTTATACTACCAACCTGCAGAAAAAAAATGTTAGTAGAAAAAAAAAAAAAAAAAAGACAGACGAAAAACAAAGCTTGACGAAGTCAAACTTCAGATCAAAGTTCAATAAACGATAAATATTTATAATTAAAATAAAGTTTTAACATTTAAAAAACTGATTATCTTGTGTTGCAATAGAAAATCAGAAAATCGCTTATAGTTAAAGATATCAAAGATATATAACGATTAATAGCAATTAATCGTTTTGTAACGATTTGAAAAACTCGATAATAATCGATTAGTAGTATATAACGATTTATATCTATTTTTCGATGTTTATCGATTTTAAATATATATCGATTTGCAACCAGTTTATCGATATATATCGTTATTTAGAAATCGATATAAAACGATTAAATGCTATATATCGATTACTTTCTATAAAAAAAATTTCCCGATGTCCTCAACTTTGACCTGCCAGTATCCACTAGCAAGGTCTAAAGAACTGTACCAGCATGATCCAGAGAGGGTGTTCAGAAGATCATCGATGCAGGAGAGGTGATAATTATCTTTGACGATGATGATGTTTAATTTATGATAATCAACACAGAATCTAGTACTTCCATCTTCTTTAGAAACCAATACAATAGAGGAAGTCCAGGGACTTTGACAGGGATGAATACTGCCGTATAAAATTATATAGCTGATTTCTTCCTGGATTATCTTTTTTTTAGCAGGGGAGTGGTGATAGGGATATTGTTTAATTGGAAGGGCATCACTGGTATCAATATGATGCTTCACCAGGTTAGTCCAACCTAACGGTCCCTTTTCCTAAATAAAAAGGTCGAGGTTACTTCTTAAAAATTGCTGGAGTTGAAAATGCTGCTTAGACTCTAGTCTTCCAATCTGGTAAGGATCCTGACGATCTTCGTAATAATAGTTGAAGAGGTCACAAATGGGAGATTCGATAGCAAGAGCATTTGTAATACATCTATAGAGATCAGGTTGGATGTTTTCTTCTTCAAGGTAAGCATTTCCTGCTTCATCATAATGACATTTGACATTAACAGGTTTATTCTTTCCTTTCTTTATTTTCGCTCTTTGGTTTTCTTCGTCATCTTATCATTGGCGTTGGAGTCAAAATCATCCATCCTAACTTTTGGTATGCTAAAATCTTGGTAGGAATATCACTCATCTTCACTAAAACTATCCAAGTTGAGGTCATAGTATACTAATGGAGGTAGGTTATCTAAATTTGGGGCAAAACAAGGATTCCCTTTGTTGACAATCCTCAACTCAGGTTGACGACAAACAAATATTTATAGAAAAATGAGCTGAAGAGGTAGAAGGTAAAGGATCATGAACGTTAATTTAGTGAGAGATGGGGCGGCTCGTATGTGATGCTGGTGTGTTTAATTAGGGAATATTAGTGTCTTTGTCATTAGGAAATAGAGGTAGGAGAGGCAAATTAAGAAGAGAATAATGTACATCGATGGGGAAATCTAAAATTAGAGTTTTGGAAGGGTTAGATAAAGGTATGCAATTAGGGGTTTCATTTTCATCTATTTCAGAATATCCATAGATTCTATTCTCTAACTCCTCTTCCTCATATTATTCGTCACTATCTTCTAACCCTTCTTTGACTTCTTCTTCAGCTTCTTTGTCAATGTTGCAGACTGTTATAGAGCTGTTGTTACCAAGAGGGACATGAGTGAGCTTTTTGAATTCTACAGGGAGGATAAGTTCCTTACCCTTCCAAGTAAGGGTCATCTCTGAAGCTACTCAGTCAATTCTAGCTTGGGCTTTAGAAAGCCAATTGTTTCTGATGATGGCTTGATATAATCCAGCATCAGTAATGACGACGTCGATAGGGATCTCTATCCCTCCAATATTAAAGGGAAAGTTGGATATTTTCCCTAAAGCCCTTTTACTTTCACCATGGAAGTTGATCATATTTACTATAGAAGAGTGTTCAATCTTGATATCTAGATCCCGTAGTAGGTGTAACGAAATGACACTTCCAGATGAACCACTATCAACTATCAAAGAGATAGTTATACCCAAGATTTGAGCATCACAATAAAGAGCAGTGAACTTTTTCTCAGGACTAATACTAATGTTTGCTTTTACTTTTCTTTTAATAGAAGCCTTTTTCTTCTGCAAACTTCAACCCAATTCACCTTGTAATGCAGAGGCGATCCGAAAGAGTTGGCTGTAAGTAATATTAGTGGGCTTATCCCAAATATCCCAATGATCAAATAGGGGGAAACCAAAGATGCAATTTGAGGAAGTTCATCCTCTTGAACCTTTTTATGGACAATGCATTTGGGCTTGGAAACAACAACCTTCAACAGGGCAATTGATGAATCTGCAATTACTTCAGGGTAATTATTAACTTTTTCTTCTTTATCTGCTTCTTCCTCCATTAATTGCTCCAAAGTTTCTTCCTCCAATCTCTTTTCCTCTAATTTTTCTTTTCTTCTCTTGGTAGGATGGAGGTTACCACTAGATCGTTGGGGGTCTCGTTTGCCCACTGCAAACAGAGAAACATCCTCAACAAGGATACTAATGATTACTTTGACTCTTAGTAGGATTTAGACTGGTAGCTAAGGCTAATAGAGCTTGAAGAGTCTCTTGCTGCCGATTCTCAGGAGTGTTATTGGGAACCGGATTTGTAGGAATAATGGAGGGGGGTTAGAAAAGAGGTTTACAGGGGCCTGAACTGGAGGTAAGTTTGGCAGGTTTTGTGAAACTGAATTAGGGGGGAAATTAGGTTGAGGATTTGTCATTCGACAATTCCAGCTAATATGACCAGACTGATTAAATCTATAACACACAGGCCAGCTTGTACTCCCAGAAGTAGGCGGCCTTCTCTTCTGTAACTGAAGGAGCATTTTGTTAACAGCCTCGGTCAATTTTTCGATTGCTGAATCAGAGGTAGGTACTGAGAGTTGGACCTCAATAAGAGGGCAGGGGTAGAGTGTGCCGAATACAAAGCACCTAATAAAGTGGAAGAATAAGAGAGACTCTGATAGCAGGCACTCTTATATGCCTTGGCATGTTCATAAGCAGTCTGAAGAGTATTCAGGGTGGAGTGAGCAATGGCTAAGACGAATTCAGGTCATAGACCATTAAGAAAAATTTGTGCCTTGGCTGTTTCAGAGTAATGATGACCTTCAGATTTAATGCATTGAAGGAGTTTCTAAATGGAGGTGTAGTAAGCTTCGACGTCTTCATTCAGTTGTTACTTGTGGGTAGCAAGCTGAGCAAACCACTTTTCTTCTAATGTAGAGGTATGAAAATGGCTAATAAAGGTGGAACAAAAACTCTGGGCAGGATTAGCACTATTGTTCCAAGTATTAACGGGATTGGGAAGCCTTTGGATAATGGCCCACCAGGTTGTAGCAGACCCTTTGAGATGGGGACAACAACAGCAATCTTTTGATTATCATTAATTAGATTAGCTGCAAAAGTCTTTTCTACCTCGTCAAGACAGGTCATTGAATTTTGGTCCACTCTAGCAAAGTCGGGGTAGAAGACAAGGTTTAACTCCTAATAAGAAACATTAATTTAAGCAGCTGGTGCAGCTTGCATTTGTTGAATTAGTAAACTAATCTGGGTGGCCAAATTGTTGAAGAGATTATTTGGATTGGGTGGTTTGGCAGGGTTTGGCTGCTGCGAAGGTTTGACAGGATTTTGTTAAGCCATTACCTTTTTCTGGATCAAAATAAGTTTCCGATTTACTCTTCTTAAAGATAGATTCAGTTTGTTATATTTCACTCGAAGGGTTTATATTTATTTTTATAAATAGGCTTATGATTAATGATTAGGAGAGATAAAAATTCAATTCTTCTGAAGGCAGTGATATTAATCGATTTTATTATAATTTATTGTGAAAGATTAATATTCAGATTCACACAACTGGCACCAATTGTAACCGTTGTTGGAAGAGCATAAGAAGATTATGTGAATAAAAGGCCAATTTAACTCCAATGGTGTATGTGAAGATGAAGGTAAATGGAGAGTGACAGGGGTCTTTTTATAATAGTACTAAACAAAAGAAACAATGTGACAATTTTATGAATACTTAATTTTCGACAAGGTATGGTGAGAGAAGTGATGCAATGTCAGGTGATGCCATTAACAATGATAGTCAATAAGGTGATTTCAAGGATAACAATGATAATTTAAGGGAGGGCGGTAATCTTAGGGATGATAATAAGGCCAAAAGCGGACGATGATCAGGTATAACTTTAAGTTCATGTAATGATTTATCGAAGTCAGATAGCCGGATGAAGGTGGTGTTTCCTATTACAATTCCTGTAAGTTATTGTTGTATATAACAATATATGATTCAGAATCTGAGTCTTAATAATCCATGTCAAAGTTATAAGTCAATTTGGTCTATTGAATTGAGTCTCAATTGGGTTTATTAAAGTTATAAGTCAGATTTAAAGGCAGTATGCAAGAAGTATTCAGATAAGTAAATATTCTTATTCAAGCAAAACAATGTTATGAGGATGGAATGGTTTTCTTTATTTATTTTGTGATAGAACTGTAAAATTCTAATCTTTACTGCCTGAAACTTTAAGTTCTTAAATATATTTTGAACTTTGGCTACACTTATTTCTCAGCTACTATGTTTACATGACTTTTACTATGACTACACAACTATAGCTATGTTTATACACCTTCTTTCTAAGTTACTTTACAATAAGTGATCATAACAAGTTTGATCGGTTACGTTCGCACTGCTACAGCTATGTTGGCTTAGCTATGAGGACGTTTATTCTCCTATTCCTCAATCATTCTTGTGTGATTATGCAAGTAGCCCTCGTAACAAGTTCAAATGGCTACATTTACGTATCCACTGTCGTGTGCCTTGAGTAACATCCACATAATAAACCACCAAGCCACCCATTCTTATTATTTTAGTATAAGTTATGAATATCTAAAATAATTTAATAAATTTTCCAAAAGCAGGCATTGTTATTGGAATGGATGGGGATTTACAAATTAATTATATATATACGAACAATTTGCTGTCAAAAATAAAGATTTTATTTACAAAATATAAAAAATTAAAATTTAATATGTTACAATACTACGCTCTAAATACAGTATTTTTTTAGAGATATTTAATTTTGCCCAATCAATGTATATAGATTAGGTCATGTCTTTTTTTTTATAAATTGTGTTATTTTTGTGCGGAGATCTTTAGCCAAAATTTCCTTGCAATTCCAGAAAAGAAAATTTTTGTCAGGCCTTTTTTATAAGATATTAATATTGCAATAGCAAATTGCAAATGCAAGTGCAAATGCAATTGATATTGCTATTTCATTTGACTTTGATATTAAAAAAACAAAATGCAAAAATTTAGCCATATCAATCATAAAATAATAGCAAAAAATAGTTTACTTTAACATTTTTCTATATTCATAAAATATATTTTTACTTTATCTTTTCAATTAATTCCCAGACTTTTTTTTGGGAAGATGAATTGATAATCACAGATCATCAAAGACTGTAATGAATGATCATAGTGAAGGAATTTGTCAATCATTTCCAAATTCAAATTTTATTTATTTAATTGTTAAAATTAATACAAAAAAAAAATAGATAAAATTTATTGTGTATTTTAATGCTATTATTATTTATTTATTATTTATTATTGTTAAAAAATAATTTTTTTTAAGTATGTTGCATTTTTAATATAGTAATAAATACTTTTGATTAGCTGTGTATTAAACTCATACATATGTATTTAGGCACATCTGTACACACATACCGTACCGCACTGCCTTTAGTATCCAGACCTTATAAAAAAAAGGTGTATTTTACATGACAATATACCATGGGTACTTAACCAAAAGTGGATACACAAGCTGTAGGTACTGTGACATGGTTGTATTTATACTTCAATAATTTTCAATTAAATCTATTATTAAATCTATTAAATCTTAATACCCAGATCTTATACAATTTTTTTGACATTTTTTGTTGTAATTATTCGGGTATTAATTGAAGGGGTAATAATAGGGGGTACTAAATGCAGTGTGGTGTGGTAGATAGGATGACAGGAAGAAATTTGATAATCATATCTAAATTCAATTTACCCAATTACCCAATATCCATGTGGTTATGAAACATGATTAAGACTTGATTTTGTGATATGATGTTTTAGCAATCATATCAGATACATACACATTTTATTGAAATATGAAGTTTGAAATGAGGCCAAGCGAAGCAAGGCTGAGAGGTATAATATAGAAAATTATTATAATATACAAGCAAAGATGGGATGCCACAGGTGCTCCTATTGCATTACTTGTGTTAATGACTAAATTAATTAATATATGTCAAATGATATTGATTAGATCATGTGCTTATAATTATGTGCTGTATAACAATTTAGATTATATGGGTATCAAAAACTCGAATATGTATAATAATTATATTATTAATTAATAACAAAAAGTAATAATATATGTTTATGCCAGTTTGATGCCATAGGAAGACTGCTTATAATTGGCTGTTTAAGTCTATTTAATTTTATATTATTTATGCAGTTTAAAGTATTTTAAATAAAAAAAATCAAACTACAAAGAATAAACAAAAAAGAAGTATATAAAAAGTTTTATTAGGGTTGTTAGACTCCATCATTAAAAATAATCAAAATCATTTTTGGTTTTAGAAAAGTTAGCATAATAGTAACTTCTTAAAGATAGATGTAATTAGATAATTACCATGCTAACTTCTCTAAAACAAAAAATGATTTTGATTATTTTTAAATACTGGAGTCCTACAACCCTATTAAAACTTTCTATATACTTCTTTTTTGTTTATTCTTCGTAGTTTGATTTTTTTTAAAAAGTACTTTAAACTGTATAAATAATGTAAAATTAAATAGACTTAAACAGCAAATCATACAAAAGTCTTCCGATGTTTAGTTGAATTTTAGTAGTGATTTATTATTGTTAGCATTGAAATCATTAAAATGGAATATGCGGGGATCATCATAACAGATAAGCAATTGAGTTCGTGCTTGCCGGTAGCTTCTTGCCTGCATAATGCAGGACGGCTGTCAACATGACTGTGTGATATTTATTTAAATCTAGTACCGTATAAATGTGAATAACGCCCAGTTGCGTTATTTTTGATTTGGGCCGGAATTAAGTATGATTTAGGCCAAAAATTGAAATTATACCCCGGGCGCTATTACGGATTTATACGGTACCATAATAGGAAAACGACAGGTTCCTTTGCGGGAGAGGGCTGGTCGAGAATTGAGGGCAGTTAGAGTTAAATTGGCGATGAATCAGCCTTTTCTCACAGTATCCATTATTAAGTTAGAATTACTATATGCGGAAAGTTATTTAGAATCATGCTCCTCCTGTAATCTTGATTATGCAGTGCAGGATTGGCCTTATTCCTGTTGCTATTTTCACGGAGATCATTGCCCCAGCTTAGCACCTTTTTGATCCGTCAACTTTTGTCAACTCGAATGAAATTACAGCGGATTGGTATGGTATAAATGAGCAGATCTATATAGTACCGGTACAAGCTCAATTTTTTAAACACTACACACCGATATTAATCAGCTATAATTTCTAAGCCTAATAAGTATAGTTTATAAATCAGTATCGGTATTAGTTGTGGGAAATTTTTTAACGCATGTGCGCCAGGTTTATGGCGCAGATTGCCTGAACCACATTGGACATAGCTGCCGCACCAATTTTGTCACGGATGATTCTCGATTTTGATTGGCTAACGGCCGTGATCTACAAAA